GCAGGGCTCGTCGGGCGGCGGCCATCGTTTCAAAGGGACTTGCCACAACTGTGGGATCCACGGGCACATGGCCCGGGATTGCTACAGGCCCAAGCGCGAGCGCAAGGAGGAGGCAAACCTCACGCAGGCTGCCGAGGAGCAGCCGGCTCTGCTGATGGCGGTCCACGCTGGGCTGGTGCAGATCGCCGACGAGCCAGCGCACGAGCATGTCAACCTGAACGAGGAGAAGGTGATCCCTACGGAGAGCCCGACTGATGTGTGGTACCTCGATACGAGGGCCAGTAATCACATGACCGGAGACCGCAACATGTTCTCATCCATCGATGAGACCGTCACTGGAACCGTCAAGTTCGGTGACAGGTCGGCCGTCAACATCCGCGGCAGAGGCTCCGTCATGTTCATGTGCAAGAACCAAGCACACCGCGTCCTCACGGAGGTATATTTGATTCCCAGATTACAAAGTAACATTATAAGTCTAGGACAGCTTGATGAGGTGGGATGCAAGACCGTGGTTGAGGCCGGCGAGATGTGCATCTTCGACGCCGAGCGCATGTTGCTGGCGAGGGTGAGGCGATCACCCAATCGCCTGTACAAGTTGCAGCTGCAGATCACCTTCCCCGTCTGCCTCCTTAGGAAGGCGGACGACGCACTGTGGCGCTGACATGCGCGCTACGGGCACCTGCACTTTCGTGCCCTGCACGACCTCGCCGCGCGAGACATGGTCACAGGCATGCCCATGCTTGATCGGGAGCAGCAGCTGTGTGATGGGTGCGCCATCACGAAGATGCACAGGGCTCCGTTCCCGCGCGCATCCTCATATCGCGCGGAGCAGGGGCTAGAGCTAGTCCACGGAGACCTGTGTGGCTCCATCTCACCGGCGACACCGAGCGGGAATCGGTTCTTCTTGCTGATCGTCGACGACTACAACCGGTTTATGTGGGTCGAGATGCTGCGCACCAAGGACGAGGCCTTTCGCTTCTTCCGCAAGATCAAGGCGCTCGCCGAGACGGAGCACCAAGTGAAGCTGAGGGCGTTCCGGAGTGATCGCGGTGGCGAGTTCAACTCCCTGGAGTTTAAAAGCTACTGCGACGAGAACGGCATCAAGCGGTACACGACGGCTCCCTACTCTCCGCAGCAAAATGGAGTGGTGGAGCGCCGCAACCAGACGGTGGTGGAGATGGCGAGAAGCCTACTCAAGTCTATGCAGGTTCCGGCGCGCTTCTGGGGTGAGGCGGTGAAGACCGCCGTGCACATTCTGAACCGGGCGCCGACGCGTGCGCTCTGCGGTGTCACACCGTACGAGGCATGGCATGGATGGAAGCCGGACGTCTCCTACCTGCGCACATTTGGCTGCACCGCATCCATGAAGAAGGTCGGGCCGGGCGTCACAAAGCTCTCGGACAGAGCGGCGCCAATGGTGTTCGTGGGGTACGAAGACGGCAGCAAGGCATATCGGGTCTATGATCCGGCAACGCACAAGCTGCACGTCACCCGCGGCGTCGTCTTCGACGAGGGCAGGCCATGGAGCTGGGAGACGGCGCCTACTGATGTTGTCGCAGCCGCGACACATGCTGCACCGAGCACTTTCACCGTGGAGTACACGGTCACCGCGCCCTCCGACGACGACCCCGCAAGCGAGGCAGGGAGCGGTAGCGCGACACCGGCGACACCAGAAGAGACGTGTATGCCGTCCCCTGGTACACCGGCTGCACCAAACGAGCCGGCGTTCGTCACGCCTCCCACCGGCGAGTCTTACGACTCCGAGGGGTTGCCGACCCGCTACCGCACGTATGAGGAGCTGATCAACAACACCGACCCATACGAGCTGGAGTACAGCAGGTTGTGTCTCGTGGCGGCCGAGGAGCCAGCCAGTGTCGATCTGGCACTGGAAGAGGCGTGCTGGAAGCGCACCATGGACGAGGAGATGAACTGCATAGAGGGCAACCAGACTTGGGAGCTCACCAATCTTCCTCAAGGACAGCATGCGATCGGGCTAAAGTGGGTATTTAAGGTGAAAAAAGACCCACAAGGTAACGTGATTAAGCACAAAGCTCGTTTAGTTGCAAAAGGCTATTCACAGAAACCAGGAGTGGACTTCGACGAGGTGTTTGCACCCGTGGCGCGCGTCTGTGCGGGTGCTCATCCCGCTTGCTGCTCGAGGCGGCTGGGAAGTCCATCACATGGACGTCAAGTCCGCGTTTTTGAATGGAGACCTTGCCGAGGAAGTGTATGTCCGGCAGCCGCTGGGCTACATCGACGACAAGAACAAGCACATGGTGCTCAAGCTGCGCAAGGCGCTGTATGGGCTTCATCAATCTCCTCGCGCATGGAACGCGAAGTTGGACAGCTCTCTGGTGGAGCTCGGCTTCGAGCGGAGTCCCTTGGAGCACGCAGTCTACAGGAGGGCGAAGGAGAACGACTTCCTGATCGTGGGGGTGTACGTTGATGACTTGATCATCACCGGCTCCCGCGCGTCTGACATGAGCGATCTGGGCCTCCTCTCATATTACCTCGGCGTCGAGGTGAATCAGACGGAGGAGGCGATCACTTTGTGCCAGAGCAGCTACGCGCGGAAGATCATCAAGTACGCGGGCCTGGAGGGTTGCAACCCTTGCCACACACCCATGGAGAACAGGCTGAAGTTGATGAAGAATGACGGCAGCGACGCCGTCGATCCCACTGAGTACCGGAGCATTGTTGGGAGCTTGCGGTACTTGGTGAATACCCGACCGGACATCTGCTACGCTGTTGGACTCGTCAGCCGCTACATGGAAGCTCCAACAGCTCTGCACATGGCGGTTGTGAGGCATATACTGAGGTACGTCAGCGGCACGGCGACGTACGGCTGTCGTTATGAGCGGCATGGTTCGTCGCGTCCACGGGTGGTGGGCTACAGCGACAGCGACTTCGCTGGTGATCCGGATGACTGCAAGAGCACCACCGGCACAGTTTTCTTCTTCAGCTCCAGCTGTGTACTTTGGGCATCACAGAAACAGAAGACGGTGGCTCTCTCGTCGTGTGAGGCGGAGTATATTGCAGCAGCTACGACTGCCTGCCACGGTGTGTGGCTCGGCCGGCTGGTCGGAGAGCTCCAAGGCGAAGCACCCATGGAGGCCAAGCTCCTCGTTGACAACAAGTCCGCGATTGCGTTGTGCAAGAATCCGGTTCACCATGACCGGAGCAAGCACATCGACACTCGCTATCATTTCATTTGCGAGTGCGTCGAGGAGAAGAGGATCAATGTTCAGCACGTGAGGACGGAGGAACAGGTTGCTGACCTTCTGACCAAGTCGCTCGGGCGTGCAAAGTTCGTTGAGTTCAGAGAGAAGCTCGGCATCGTCCACGTGAAAGGAGCAAGCCACGACTGAGGAGGTGTTTTGTTAGCATTCATTCGTGTCATAGACAGTCTAGGTGCATATTTGTTTTTCTTTTCTTGTGCGTGTCCATGCCGTGGGCATGTTGCATAGCTGCGTGCGTGTGTGTAGCCCGGGTCGTTCGCTAGGCAGCCCGGGGCACTGGCCACTACCAGTTCAACGTGGGATGGCACGTTGTGCGTGCTGGGAGTGCCGGAAGTATAGGATCAGCTGTTAGCTTAGTCTGTATGTAGCTCAAGTTATAAGGAATAAGGAGAAAAACAGAAAAACCGCAGGAAGTGTGCGCGGCACAAAAATCTCTTGTCATTGTGTTTCAGTTACAGAGAGCGTGAGAGTCCATCTTCAGTGAGAGAGAGAGATCGCCGGCGACGACAACAACGAGATCTTGTGCTACAGGTTGGGCGACACGTTGTACAAGTACGACACATGCGATCACTCGCTATTTGCTAGCAGTGTGCCTATCCAATGGAATCAGAAACTTCAGCTTCCCCCGACTCCACAAAAGATCTACCGTCGATGGGAAATTTATAGTGGCTACCATTCCAATCTACTCTCACCTCTCATCTTTCGACCGCCTCCGTCCGAGGAGGAGGAGAAGATCACACAATTTGATAATGTCTTGTTAGGGACACTACGACTCAATAAATCGAAAGGTCTCTCCACAGCCAATACCACCGATGAGCCAGCAGCCAAGAGGATTTGCAGCTGAATAGACACTACAGATGCTACCACGCCAGATATATACTTCACTCTTTCTATTCCCAATGGATGAAATTTTAGGTAACAGGAGGCGTTCCAGAAAATTAATAAAAATATAGAACGAAAATTTTATTGATGTCTTTGGTCATTATTATATACTATAGCACATATGCTTGTGAATTGTAACGGGAGAAAAAACATGTGTGTATTTAAATTTAGCTATAATTGTATGAGCAAAAGACAATGATAGTTCATGCGAAATTTAGTGCTTACCAAGAGGATCTATAGCAAAGTCCTATGTCCAAATACTACCAAGCAAAGACAAACTGCATTGTCTACTCTCCAAATCCACGACATTCAAATTGAACGCCATGTGAAGGAGGAGCCAGCCACCCTGCCGCGCCACCGCATGAAGGAGGAGCCGGCCTCGCAGCCTTGTTGCTAGCCAGGCAACCGGTGAATTTTTTTTCATTGACACGTCCAAACTTGTCCGTGGATATTTGGTGATCTTCATTTCATGACCCTCGCTGGAGATGCCCTGAGGGCATAGATAGCCCAATATTCCGTGACCCTAGTCGTGGTGCTGGTCGCGGTCGCCACATCACTTGTATCCTTCTAATACATTGATGTGCAAAGCTTTTGTGTATTTGAAAAAAAGAAAAAGAAAAACCCGACTTCCTTCTCTCGTAGCACAGTTGTCCATGAAAGCAACGCATGAGCTGCTGGCAGTGCCGGCATGATGTCCTCCTCCTCTCTGAAAGCAACGGATGTGCTGCTGGCAGGCATGCATGATGGCCTACGCGTGTGCCTAACCACCAGGACGGCGAAGGGGACCTAGTAGATTAGAATGGATAACATCACCAATCTGACGATTGTGGAAACGCTATATCTTCTTGTTTGAGCTCGTGGTCGTGTGGTGCAGCACTCATGGAAGGAGCCATCTCCAGCCGGCCAAACAAGAGGTTAGCCTACCTACCGATTCTTTGCTCTTGACGCCGCGATGTAGGTTTGCCTCGAAGCAGTATTGCTCATTTGCTCTGATCGGCGGCGCGTGGTTGCTAGGATCGCCGTCGTCACCGGCGGGAACAAGGGGATCGGCTTCGAGGTGTGCCGACAACTAGCCAGGGATGGAGGAGTCACGGTCGTTCTGACAGCTCGGGACGAGACGAGGGGCGCGGGGGCGGCCGAGAAGCTCAGACCGCTGGGGGTCACCGACGTCGTCTTCCATCAGCTGGACATCACAGACGCTTCGAGCATTGCTACGTTAGTCGATTTCCTCGAGGCCCGTTTCGGGAAGCTGGACATCCTGGCAAGTTTTCCATTTGCTTTCTTCATGCTAATGCTCTGTCACCGAAGGTTTGAAGCAACCGTCCGGTGTAATTTGTAGGTCAATAATGCCGGCGTTGGTGGGGTTGAGTACCCCCAAGAACTCGATGCCAACGACGAGAAGGTGAGTTCACGTGGCTCTGTTGTTGTGCAATTGCTCGGACATATATGCATCCTGGTTGAACAAGTTCATCTTATCTGTGCATCAGTTCGCCGGCCTCGACTCCAACCAGAGACTTGAATGGATGGTGAAGAATGTCCGGGAGCCCATCGACGCCGCAAGGAAAGCCGTGGAGACAAACTACTATGGCACCAAGCATGTAATCCAGGCCCTGCTGCCTCTGCTGCTGCAATCTTCCTCCCAGGGAAGGATAGTGAATGTCTCCTCCGAATATGGACTGCTAAGGGTAACTTAATCATGTTCTTTCCAATCTCCATCGATCATGCTATTGCTACACCGGTATCGAATCAAATATATAAAGGGAACTTTGATCTATCCATGCAGCTTATTAGGAACGAGGAGGTGAGGCGGGACCTCAACGATATCCACAACCTGACAGAGGAGAGGCTAGACGAGGTGCTGGACAAGTTCTTGCAAGACTTCGAGGCCGATGCGCTCGAGGCGCACGGGTGGCCCACGGGGTTCTCGGCATACAAGGTGGCCATGGCCGCCACCAACGCCTACACGAGGATCTTGGCCAGGAGGCACCCCACGCTGCGCGTCAACTGCGCGCATCCGGGCTATGTCAAGACAGACATGAGCATGGGCTCAGGTGTCCTGACGCCCGAGGAGGGAGCACGCGGCGTGGTGAAGGTGGCGCTGCTGCTGGACGGTGGCCCAACCGGCAAGTACTTCACCAAAGGCGAGGAGGCGTCGTTCGTGTGAGGTGCTGGCTGGCGGTCGTGAGCTAGCTCGCCAGTTCGTCCGCCGTGCACTGTCCGGTTTGAGATTGAGAATAACAGACGGGATTTGCCATTTCCTTTAAATGAATAATAAGCTGATGCACTTTACCCTTGCATTGGAAAATGATAATAAAGCAGTAAATTATGCACGTAAGCAATGCTATGTTAACACTGCAACATGCCGAGGAAAATGCATGGTGGGGTTACTAACACGAAGTAGGCAGAGATATGCTGCAGAAAAACAGAAAAGGTTAATCGGATGATGCAGCTGGGTTCTCCAGCAACGTCAAAGATTAAAACTAGAGGGTATCAGCACCAAATTAGAAGAAGAAAAACGGATCAAATAGAGCTCGTCGTGTCTCTAGTTGAACTCTTGAATCCGTATAATATTGTTGAATTCATTGCCAGTCACGCGGACAACTGAATTCGCCTTAGCTCAGCTGAATTCCTTCGATACCGGCTCTCCTACCCACTGCCAACTGTTCGGTAATATCTTGTAATAGCACACATGCACACACACCGTTTTCATCACACAAAATTGTTCCCCAAAACCAGCCCTGGTGCGAGACAAAGAACCGAGCACTGCTACGCCTGGAGTAAATTGCACAAAACCATCACTTTGAAGGCTAGGTTTGCGAAAAACACTACAATACATTTTTTTTTTGCAAAAAAACACCACGTCTACGGTAATCTTTTTTGGAAAAAACACTAATCGGCGGATCGGGCTCAGTTAATTGAGTCTATGACAAATGGGGCCCGCCAGTCAGGCTGACGTGGCACCAGTTTCTCACACTGTTACATGAAAACGTTTGCTGAATGTGGGGCCTACTTGTCAGCCTATCAAGCCTCTCTTTGGCATTCCATCGAACAGTTTGAGTGCAGTGCACACGCCGGCGGACAAAGGCTGGCGTCGCGAGTCTCAGCCAGGCGAGGAAGGTCAAGGACGGCAAGGACCGTGGCGCCGGGATGCGGCGGCCGTGCTCAAGGATGGAATCCGTGGGGGAGCACTGGTGGCGGGGAGGTCTCTGCCTCGGCTGAGGGCAGACGAACGGCGGCATCTGCCTCGATGCGGCAACGACGATGGCAGGCTCTGCCTCGACGCAGACCTCGCGTGGCTCGCGAGGGCGCAGGGATCCCGTTGCCCCCTCGCAGTCCTCAACTCCTTCCCCAAGCCTCAGAGCTCCTCCCCCCTCCAATGGCCAAGGTGCCGCCGCCCGTCCCGTTGGCCAAATTCCTGGCCAGCAGCCCTCTCCTCCCTTTCCTTTGGCGTAACCGACTCCTTTGGATGCCCTCGAACTGCTGCCGCCCCCGAGTTCCTCCGGGGAAGCCCTGCTGGCGCCGCCATCGCAGCTCTTCAACCGTCGCGGCTTGGCCCATGGCGGCAACGCTACAGGCTGTCCCATGCGACCCCGCAGCCACCCCCCGGACGCGGCGCGGAGCGCCTGTTCCAGAGCCGTCACCGGCGAGCCCCCTCGGGACCCAGTCGACTCCAGCGCCGGCGGCCACAGCGCTCCTCTGTCCAGCGGCGGGAGGTTGACGAGCACGGACCACCAGCTTTTTTTCTTTTTTCTTTAGATGACAGGTAGACCCCACAGGGCCACACGGGATGATAACGTTTGCCAACGTCGCAATTACTTAGCCGGTGCCACATCAGCCTGACTAGCAGGCCCAATCTGTCATAAACATGCTCAATCGAGTCAAATCCGCCGATCAGTGTTTTTTGCAAAATGATTACCGTAGACGTGATGTTTTCTACAAAAAAAAATGTAGTGTAGTATTTTTCGCAAACCTAGCCTTCAAAGTGGTGGTTTTGTGCAATTTACTCCTACGCCTGGGAACAGAATTTGTCTGATACACCTTTTTCCAGCAAAACAAGCCTACAAGTACAATGCATGACAAAGTTGGAGGATACATTAATTTCTGCTACATCTTGTTTGATACGACAGAGGTTTTCCATTACATCGGCCGATGCAACATAACCGCCGCTCCCCATATAAGTAAACACCCTATACACTGCTAGGATTCTTTTTTCTCCTTTTTCTGATTTTTTTACTGCCCTAGACAATTTACTAGGAGCAGACGCAAGGAGCTAATTCCGGTGCTGCATATTGTGTTACTTCTCTTTACATGTCCCCGCGCACGAGCTTAATGAAAGAATTCGGATGGCATAATTTTCAACTCTGCTATTGTATTTTGTTAATACAACTCTGTTTTTCATACAGAAGTTGTGTGCTTGGAGTTGATTATCCGGCCTCTAGCTGATTTATGTTTTTGTAGATTTTAGAAAACTCGGTTAGTACAGCTCTGTTATCCAATACGAACTCAACCGTTTGGAACTGAATGTAAATGCTTTTGATTTGAGTACTGATTATTTGTTTTTTGCCTAATGCTTTCATGTTGTATTAATCCGATCTATTTCATAAATCAAGCATGAGATAGAAGGATCTGGGCTGGCTATTTTTCTTGAGATGTCAGATCTAGATGTTCGAGGCAAAGGCATGTGGCTGTTGACAATAAAAATGCCAAAACTGTGAATGAGAAGTCCAATTTTGAAGGTTTGAAGTCTATGATGACAAACTATTTTTATTTGGTAAAAATAGAAGTACATCAGTGAACATGAAAGTTGATACAACTGATGCAAGACTCGCGAATAAAGACCTGATATAGGGTTTCACTGTCTTCAGACTTGCATGCACTTCAATTGTTATTTGGCCCAGGTGGCCTACCCAATGATTTTATGTGCCATGTTTATATCATCACAATGTATCTCACAATTGTGGTGTCAAACATATTATTGTATGGCAATGTGGCTTACTCCCAAGTGTTTTATAAATTCCCAGTAAGTTGAGGGAAGTCTTAAAAAACTAACATAAATAAATGGGTATATAGATTTACCATTCTCTACTTCTGAATTTAAAATCAATAGCTTCGTATCTGTGGCTGAAAATAGCAACAGACAGAATCGTGTAAAATAGGTGATCAGCTTTCTTTGCCCTAACAGAATGACTACTATGTACATCCAACATCCAATTCATAGAGCGAACTCTCAGTGTTTCAGAACAAGAATTACCTATAACAAGTCAAGAAATAAACAAACACATGTTCCAGCCAAATATACCAGTGAATGTCTCTTTTATAACTTCACCAATTCTCTCACCGGAAAATTTTAAATATATGAATTAATGAGCGTACCTTTGAAAAAAGCGTTCGAATAGTAGGGGGCAAGGAAGCAGGACTATAAACAAGAAACATACTAGGCAAGAAAGGAACAAACAAACATAAATCTAGGAAAATATATAGAAACCAATACACAAACATATTAGCGAAGCGCGGCGTGCTGCCGCGCACAGGCATGGCTAGTCACATGCAAACTGAGGAAAATCCTCGGTTCCACGGTAATGGATTATGGATCCTAGTAACACCCAAAGCAGCACCAAATTAAGCAAGCATCAAATTTAGCAAGTTCATGCGCACCACATTACAAGTTCTACTACAACAGAAATACAGTACATTAACTACATCAAACTGTCGCCAGTACAACACAACACGTTACCTTCCAGATGAGTTCTGAGAATTTGATCCTAGAATACTTCGACCCATGCCAAACTGGAGCACCACCTGCAGGGTTGCCACAACCGCTAACTTTTCTGCTTCATAGTAGCGTCTTGGAGGTTTATAAGCCTTCCTTTCATCACCAGCAACACCTGGACATCTTGATTTCACACAATTGCCTCCCATCCTCCTGGCATTCTATCAGCATAAAAGAAGTGATATGTGTTAACAATTAAGTAACTGCTACTGCATACTCAAAATATTGCTAACCAGATGATGATACCTAAAAAGCTTGGATTTTTCTCTTTTTTCCTCAATGTGCGCCCATGAAGGGGTTGACGAGGACGAGGCGTTTGTCGTCGAAGAAGGTCAGGCCGCCGCAGGATGAAGGAAGAACAGGTGCGGAGATGAAGGGAGGAAACTGCGTTGGATTTGGTTGGACCCGGCCAGAAGGTGCGCGTACGTTAAAAGTCTCCTTCCGATCGGGCGGGTCTGGTGCCAGGCACGCATCACGTCGTCCTCATTCTGATTTACACGCACGCACACCGCAAAGGAAGGAGGGAAAGTCAACCACGCACGCCACAGTGCAAGCAGACCTCGCAGTACGTACGCTACTCTATCTAGTACACGTGTGTGTCGGTGTGTGTGTGTCTTGACGTCATGCTGCACACGTAGTACGTGCGTACCGGAACTCCGTGGCCAAAGCTCGACGCGCACGTGCACAACATAACATCTTTTCTTTCCTCCACCATGGCTGATATCTTGACACACACACAACTTAACGCACATAATGGGATGCAGGAAGAGTGTAATTACCTGGGAATGGTATGGCATCACCTCATCTCCTCTCCCCCGCATCATTGCAATAAGCGAGCACAAAGATGAGATCTCATCTTCCTCCTCCTCTCTCTCTCCTGCCGCATCGCCGTCGCTCAAGTCCTAAGTCATAAGTCACATGCGCATCCCGCACACGAATAAATGAATCTTTCTAGTATATATAGCAACATAGATGGCCTTACAAGGAATGGTGGAGAGAAGGAGGAGGCCGCGGTGCCATGGATCAATGAGGTGGCACAAACAAGTCCATTAATTGCTTGATGACTCGTGGGCATCCCCAGGGCAATTAATCCAATGACGATGACGACCCGTTGGTTTCCAAGAAAGGGAATATTAATCATGGCTTTGACAATAATCTCAAGAATGGAATGATGTACCGAGTTCGACTTTCTCTACTTTTGAGCCAGCTTTCCAACTCAGTCAAGCTTTCTTCAAGGATTGTCAAGAAACAGACGAGCAGTTTGTTCATTTTAATGTTTCTAATGCTCAAGCCTTCTTGATTTCAAAAGAAGTCTCTTTTCTCTTTATGTTTCATAAGAAATACAAGCAAATGGATTTGGTAACATACCCATCCATCCATAGGCATGGATGGAT